CTGGGACTACTTGTAGCGATGGCGGTAGTTAGACATTGCAGGCGTAATACCTATAATTAACTTGCACCAGGTAACTTCCCCTTTTTACCTGTTGTACACACCTCAGCCCTTTCAAGAACAAATATATTCAGACATGTTTTGTTTTCTGGTTATTCTCAAGTCACCTGACTGAATGTCACACAAGTGGTTTTCTCTCATGTCATCCCTCTTGTCTGTAGTACGAACTCGGGCAGAAAACAAACATCAAGAGTTTGAAAATATTTCCTCGGCTAAGTTCAGAACAAGAAACACCACAGGAATGTGAAGTTCTTTGAGTGATTGAGTGAGTGAGTGAGTTTGGTTATACGCTGCTTTGAACAGTATTTCAGTCATACCACATTAACTTCATTTGAGGGGACCTGTGAAGATCTTGGGTAGAATAGGTCTTCAGTAACCCATGCTTGCTGTAAAAGGTGACTAACGGGATCGGGGGGTCTGGCTCGCTGACTTGGTTGATGCATGTCATTGTAGCCAAATTGCGTGGATCGATGCTCATGATGTCAATCACCGGATCGTATGGTCCAGGCTCGATTATTTACAGAGCTAAGCCATACAGCTGGAATATTGCTGAGTGTGGCGTTAAACAAACAAACAAACAAACAAACAAACAAACAAATCATTTGAGAGGAAATCCCAAATTCATGTAGGTCATATTTGTTTACAACTCTCAGCCAAGCTGACACCATGGATCTTTAAGTTGGGCAAATTTTGGATTAGGACCTGTGATCAGGAGATCCTGGCACATCCAAGGGATGCAACTCTGCATAGGACATAGATATGAAGTGTGGATACCCTTAAAATGCAAAAATGCCGGCACATAATTCTGGAAAAGAACTTGTAATTGCGAGTCAAAAAATTGTCAACGGGCTAGACATGACTTCATCTTATATCACAGAACATAGAGATATAGAAAAAATGGTTTGGTATTTCAAGAATCTGGCATGACAATGTAATTTGAACTGTGACCATTTTAAAACGAAATCAATATGAAATTCTACTTGTTTTACCATAGGACATAAAAAATATGTAGTCAGTTCACTACTTTGGAAAGCTTAAATTCTGTGCTACCAGACAGATGCACTACAGACTAACATCATAACATCACTGACATTGACAACAAACCGAGTTAACAGGACAAAACCTGAAGAATTTGTTCACCCCAAAACAGCAGATCTGGTTTTGAGACAGCCCCTACCATAACGCACGGAGTACAATGGTTGCAAGTATTCGGTCACATATCAGATATATTGTACACTTGAAACAGGAAGACGGTCACAGAGTGACCAGACGGACTGTATAAGGTGATATCCTCCACTCAGACAGCGTGTAAACATCGTACGTTGGTGGCGGCTACGTAGCGGGGCTGATTACCACAGTATATAGATCCATATGTAGGTAGGTCTGGGCCAGAGGGTGCAACACAGATAACACAACCATGTCTGTCCCACCAACACGCTGATTATGTCTGCAGCACAAACATTATTTATAAAGAACCCCAAACGTAAAATACATCTGTTATTAGGTGAATGAAAGTTGTTTTGCCAAACTGAACAAAAACGTTCCTAATGCTTTAGCTTTGCAACGAAAACTTGTAATGTCCGTGATAACACGACCAACACAGAGAAAATAAAAATACCTTCATATGTTAAAGCATTGCATGAAATGTTAAATTGCCTCTGAATTAAAGATATAAACGAATATAATATCCTTAACTTAATCATCTGAATGATATCCCACACTGGTTCACCTTGTTCTTACAGACATCATCATCATCATCATCATATTCTTAACTAATTCATATGAATGATATCATCATCATCATCATCATCATCATCATCACCACCATCATATTCTAAACTAATTCATATGAATATCATCATCATCATATTCTTAACTAATTCATATGAATGATATCATCATCATCATATTCTTAACTAATTCATATGAATGATATCATCATCATCATCATATTCTTAACTAATTCATATGAATGATATCATCATCATCATCATATTCTTAACTAATTCATATGAATGATATCATCATCATCATCATATTCTTAACTAATTCATATGAATGATATCATCATCATCATATTCTTAACTAATTCATATGAATGATATCATCATCATCATCATATTCTTAACTAATTCATATGAATGATATCATCATCATCATCATATTCTTAACTAATTCATATGAATGATATCATCATCATCATCATATTCTTAACTAATTCATATGAATGATATCATCATCATCATATTCTTAACTAATTCATATGAATGATATCATCATCATCATCATCACCACCACCATCATATTCTTAACTTATTCATATGAATGATATCATCATCATCATCATCACAGTTCGGCCACTGAATATTTACTCACATGGATTCATTCTCATTGGGGATTTATATTTTTCTTTGGGTATTCAATACAATTTACTCCCATGGGTCCAGTCTTCTGGGTATTTTAAACCAATAAGTATACAAAAAACATAAATTATTATCAATATGCGTTTATGGGTGATTCTTATTTGCATTGGTTTGTGACAGTTGGAGGGAGAGGGTCACCGTGGTCCAGACATCATTGACACGTATCATTGACACAACATGCAGATATACCATACGGGTTAACAACACTCAGGACATGTTAGTATCTCTGACAGACATTAGCATCAATGATAAAATCTTGATTGACAGTGTCACTCATTGCTACAGGTGGAGCTAGGCTTGTGAATGACAGGCTCTGTGATTACAGAGACTAATGCACATTTACGATGGAATCAGTTCAAGGAAATATAAATGGCTAGTTTTCAATTGTTTCTTTAAAAAAATGAATCAAGTTTCCCAATCAACAGAAGGAATTCCATGCAAGTCCTTTATGTTCATGACAGTATTGGATTTGTGGAAAAAAGTCAAAACATTACTAGTCTGAAAAAATCTCATTAAAATCAAATCTTAGTTCTCGCTACCGCTAAACAAGATCTGAGGACATCCCATTAGTGTCACGTCAGACCGACCTTGCACAAAATTTGACCGACCAATGGAATGACCAATCAGACGGCAGCTTTCTCGTGCTTTACGGCACTAATTTCAAATTGGCTACTACGCTTCGAAACATATTTTGACAAATTCTCGATTACAAATTTGAAACCTGAACAAAAAACCATTCTGGAATGGCTAATAGATGGTCTAGATTGTAAGGATTCAGTCATTAAACCTGTAACTATCGTTCGGAATACCCCATGTTAAAGTTTTCGAGATTGCATGATTAGAAATCACATTCCGACTGTCACTTTAATAATCTGGTAAGCGACGCTCTGATTGGTTGGATGAAAGGTTGTTCTGACGTGACCCCTAATGGGATGTCCTCAGATCTTTGTTTTGGGGTAGTGAGAACTAAGATCTGATTTTAATGAGATTGAGTCTGAAAAGTCGCTGAAACACTGCAGATCCAAAACAGATCCAACTTAGGATCCAAAACACTAAGATATCCATATGAAATATATCACACTCGAATAACCATTCCTTGTTCCTTTTATTTTTAGTCACCATGAAATATATGTGTATACTTTCTTTTGCCCGGCAGTTTTGATCTGGAATGTTTGTCTGTTACAAGCCAGGGCCCTGTTCCACAAAGCGATCTTTGAGCTACGTTGATCGTTAGCCTATGGTAAAGTATGGGAGTTACGACCAACTTAGCACTAATGTTGCTTTGTGGAACAGGGCCCAGGAGATCATAGGCGAAAAAAACAAAACCTGACAAATTGTTTCTGACACAAAACAGACTCAAGGTACCAGTTATGACCTTGACCTTTTTGCCACATATACAAGTAATTTTAAAATATATTATTATGGAATAAAACTTTCAAAAAATTCCACCTTCCTATAGACCACAATATGTCAAGCACTTAAATAATTATTTTGACTTTTATTCAGGAGTGGCTGACACAGTTCATAAAGTCTTGTGTCACCTGTTTCCTTGTAAACATGGTGTTTCAGCCATGACAATAATATTGTGTCACTGTCCTGCACAGGAGAAACATTGTACAACATGTGACTCACTGGTCAAGGTAAAGCTGGAATGTAATTCCAGAGATCATAATGGACTGTCAACAAGCACAGATTTTCCGCTACATACTCTGTTGTGGAGAAAAAAAACCAAACAAAAAACCAAACATCGTTTCGGTTCATGTAACATGAACATTTAGCATAAACGCCACATGCTTCATTGAAATCAGATCGTGGCATTCATTTCACGTGCAGAAAATGAATGCTGACATGTGATGCATTGCAATCGTCAGTGCAGGCTTTTCGTTCGTTGGGGCAAGACACACTTTACGGTCGTTGACCAATATTCGTGGTCTTTATAGGAACTAGTTATCGTTGGACCAATATTCGTGGTCTTGGTATAAATTAGATGGGACAATATTCGTGGTCTTGGTATAAACTAGATGGGACAATATTCGTGGTCTTGGTATAAACTAGATGGGACAATATTCGTGGCCCTTAGAAACGTAAAGTGTGTACTTGCTCCTATAGTCAATTATTCATTCCTGCATTCGTGGTCATGGACCTTGCATAGTTTCTGTATTTTACATTAAGAAGAGAATCAAGTTTAGCTCCCCACATGTCATAAAAAGAGAATCACGTTTAGTTCCCCATTAATCGTATAATTTCCAGTGGAGTAGACAAGACGAAAGGTAGACACGTGAACGTCACCTTCCACTGCGCAACATTCTCAATGATCGAACCTCCCACCCACCCCACACTCCCAGGCAACAAGTGTGCTTCCAGTTAGACCTACAGAAGCAAGGGTACTTTGCTATTGGGCTGAAATAGTCCCAAATTAAACACGAAACACTTCTTGTTTGTACAACTAGCAAAGCATCCTCCAGCAAGGGTGACAGCAACTTCAACAAAATAAGATCCAGATCATTCCTATCTACTCACTGGGATGGAGAAAACCTCGGCAACATATTTCAAGATGGCGGCCTCCTGGGACAGGAAGTTGGTGCGGTCTGTCAGATTCTGTCCAATGGATGTACTGAATTCTTTCCGTACAAGGGAGGCGATCGAGTCCACCACAATTAACTTGACCTTCTTAGTGATGATGTCTTCCTCTAAACTCTTCAACCTGCAGCAACAAATAATACAATACATCTATTGACAGACAAGTACATTTTACTGTCCTGTTGATATTGTTCATGGAGTAAGTGAATGACAGAGCGAGTGAGGGTGAGTGAGTGAGTGAGTGAGTGAGTGAGTGAGTGAGTGAGTGAGTGAGTGAGTGAGTGAGTGAGTGAGTGAGTGAGTGAGTGAGTGTTTTGAGCAATATTCACAGCAGGGAACACAATGATGGAGCATGCAGTGTTTCCAAACTCATGGAGGGGCGGTCGGGTAGCCTAGTGGTTAAAGCGTTCGCTCGTCACGCCGAAGACCTGGGTTCGATTCCCGACATGGGTACAATGTGTGAAGCCAATTTCTGGTGTCCCCGCCGTGATATTGCTGGAATATTGCTAAAAGCGGCGTAAAACCATACTCACTCACTCACTCACTCCAAACTCACAGCTTCAGATCAATACTGAGTATTTTCTCACATGTTAGGCCACACTTTTTTAATTTCATGTTTCACAGATTTAATCCAGCTTTTCCACATAAGGTTGGTCGAAATATAACTAAAACTAAAAATAAATAGCCATGTCATTTATTTATTTATTTATTTATTTATTTATCAAAGTCATTCAATCGTGTGGTTAAAACTGCAGCCAGCTTCTTGAATCAACGATAGTGATGTAGATATGGAATATATATATAATATTTGTTATTGTATAAGAGGGTCTATATTACAAGCGGGAGACATAATAAAAATAATTTTTTTATAATTAATTTATTTTTTGGACCGTCTGCTTTCAGTAGGGGCGGTTGGTCCATGAAGTGAAAAACAAAAAATGTGTGGCCTTAGGTATTTACACAGTACAGTTTTCTTTGTGCACTCAATATATTTTTACTCCCGTGGCTCAAGTCTTTTGGGCATTTTTAAACCAACAACCAATTCATAAAATAATTTCAAAATGCTACTTCAGGTGACAATTTGTGCATTTTTCACTGCCGCGGAATTCATTTAAATGTGATGCCTGCATCAATTGGCCAATAAAGATAATGATATAATAATTTGGGACCTAATAATTAAATCAAAACCAAAAACAAAAATAAATTTACTTTAGTAAAAATTGTAACAGATTCCACCAGACAAATAAATAATTTCTGGTGGCCTATTTCTTATCTCACAGCCATGGTCAAAATAGCAACACCAACTTTGAAGGAAACACACTCGAAACTGCCATGTCCCGGCAACCATGTAGTAGCCATGACAACCAACTGTTTATATTTTGTCAGCCTAATAAACACAACAACACGAGCACAACATGGCCAAAGGAGTTACATAATTCTCTCCATCTTCGTTTACATTAAACCACATGGACCTTCTCAAGGGGAATGTTTATAAATCAGATTCAAACACGGCATAAAAGCAGTAAATACAGATATGAATGCTCTCTCAAGATTACATACTCCCAGAGCAGGTAATTAAAGCATTAAGGAAAAATGGTTCATAAGATCAGTTTTGCAAAGCTTCACTCATCACTCCAAGGTGGTCTGCCCGAGGCCTCTGGGCGATACCTGTCTGATACTGAGAGCGGTACCTGTAGAATACCACTCGTCTTCCACACTAGCCCCCTTGTGGTAGGGGCCAAAATAGCAGCTTATCGGGAGGCAGGTACACACCAGGGCGTGGAGGGTAAACATAGGTAAGTGCTGTAGAGATGCTACTGTGCTGAATCTTGGGTTATCACCCAGTAGATTGGAGAGAGGGGAGTATAGACATTTAATACACCTTCCTGATTAGGGGTGCTGTCAAAGACTAATCCTTTTTTATCGGTGATAAATTGGTATTTCATGTGTGATTTAATGCAGAATGTGTACTTCCAGTACAGAATGCTGTTAAAGGTGTATATATTGATTGTATACTTCTCTAGTTGTATGTCTTGAATTAATCTATCACTGTCTTTATGAATACAACACTGAAACACTTTGAAAATGCAAAATCAACTTTAACTCAAAATCAGAAAAGATGTGTCCATCTCCAAACATCAAATGAGAATTGAACAAGTACGACGACATTGTTGTTTTCGATTATCGATTCCGAAGACACCTCAAGTAGATTTATGTGGCCATTTTGCCAAAATATTACAAAAAATCAAATGCATTTTCAAAGTTTCAGTATTTACCAAAAATAAATAGAGTTTGTGGAGTTTGTGATCTTCTTTCTTGAATTAAATCAACACAGTTTCCATGCATAGTGATTGCTTGATTGATTGATTGCTTGATGATTGATGATTGATTGTTGTTTAACACCACACTCAGCAATATTCTCGCTATATGATGGCAGTCTGTGAATAATCAAGTTTGGACCAGACAATCCAGTGATTGATATCATGAGCATCGACCCACGTATTTGGGATATGATGAAATGCATCAACTAAGTCAGCGAGTCTGACCACCCGACAAGCATAGTCGCCTTTTACGGCAAGCCTGGGTTGCTGAAGACCTGGACTAACCCGGATCTTCACGGGTCTCTTGCTATACAACTGCTATACTGCAGACAGTTGTTATATTGCAGACAAAAGCATAACCAACATTCACTCACTCACTCACTCACTGTTGCTTGATTTCTTTTGAAAGATGGAAAACTCACTAAAAGTATGACCCAAGTTTTTGTGCCATGTTTTATCTTAAACAGCCTTGCAAGGCATTATCAATGTAGGTACAAATACTAGGTTATACAGACCGCCATCATATAGCTGTAATATTGCTGAGTGCGGCATTTAACAACAAACAAACCAGGTAATAACCCTTAACAATCTGTTGGTGAGTGAGTGAGTGAGTGAGTGAGTGAGTGAGTGAGTGAGTGAGTGAGTGAGTGAGAGACGACATGGGGGGAGACATTGCTACTTTGTCTGGCCCAGCTTCGACCAAGGGCTATTAAAGAGAAATACGATTCTAAATCAGTGAACCAACTCATAACAACATATATTCCACACATTAGATTCTTCTTTCATTCAACCACTACTTTCCCCAGCACTTTCACAAGCCAAATTTATTCAAAGCTCTATGGTAAAAATGTGGGTTAGATTGAGCTTATGATAAGAAAGCAAATCGGAGAATAAAATGCCTCATTTCAGAAAAATCATAACAAACCAGGTCTTGAACTCATCCTGGAAGATGAGGGTTGATCTTTCACATCAGGAGACATAGCTTCTAGAATTCATCAAGTCTGACCATGTGTAGAACGCGTCAACTCCTCTCTTAAAGTTACCATGTATGAGTTTAACACAAATTCATCACCGCTTATCAGTGAGAGGTGAGGTGGAAAATTAATGGTTTGTTCCGGATCGGTGGCAAGCGATTGCACAGTCATGGCAACTGTATCACCCAACGCAGGAGATGGGCAATAATGTTGGTGATTGTTTACACAGCGTACATTTCTCTCAACCCACTGTTTGTACAACTGTTGCAGAAAGTTGATATACATGAACACTTTTTAAAAAGTATTATCATATCTCAGACATCACATGAGCAAGTCTTCATACCAAAAAAAGTTTCGAGATGGAATCATTGTTTTGATGGACAGGAGTTGCGACGAGTTGTGGTTAGTCGATGGGGCCAAAACTGTGTGATATCTTCACATGATTGCTTTCCGAAATGATTTTAAAAAGTATGTAGATCAAACAAAATCATGGCGGCCATATTAAAAATCAGATTTACACTTCTCAAACAAATTTGGGTCATGTCAAGGTAAAAATTATTGCTAAAAAACAGAATATATATTTTGAGGGCCATTACTAAAAACATGTACCAAATTTCAGTCAGGTAACCTAAGATCAAAATATGCCATCAAAGTTTCTATATGTTTCCATTACATCTGATGGGAATGCTGAAAATACACACCTGGCGACATTAATATATGAGCCCTAATGGTATTCATAATATGGCTGGTGCAATAGCGATAGTGACAGAAAATATCAGATTTGTTGACAAGTCCATACTGTTGTAATTGATTATCAAAGACACAACAAAGAAATCCTCCACATCCCTAAACATCTACCAGCATCTTATGACTATCATAAATTGGTCCCTCAAAAGCTCTGAGCAATATTACGAAACTGTTTGTTTGCTGCGTAAAGCCCCACCACAATATTCCAGCTATAGGACTGCTGTCTGTAAATAATCGAGTCTGGACCAGACAATCCAGTGATTGACTTCATGAGCAATGATCTACGCAATTGGGATACGATGCCATGCATCAACCAAGTCAGCGAGCCTGACCACCCGATCCGTTAGTCGCCTCTTACAACAAGCATAGTCGCCTTTACGGCAAGCATGGGTTGCTGAAGACCTATTCTACCCCGGGTCTTCACAGGTCATCTTTACTGAGTGAAGGCTTGTGGGAGCCACAAGGGAAACAATCCCCCACTTGTACAGAGTCAAGCAGATGTAACCCAACACTAACAGGGAGTTTTAAGACAGATATAAACAAGCAATTTTCTGGTAAAACAAGACCGTAAATATCTAAACTGTAGAGGAAATGTGTCTGGTGTGGCAGTGTGTTGAACGCTGTGCAAGCAAGAGGGCACCTGCAGAACACCTGCCACCTAAATGTAATCTCTGCCCTCTCCTCACATGGTAAAATAAATACTCCAATACATTAATCAGAGGCTTTCATGCAGACAGGAACACAACAGTAGAAACAATGCTAATATTTGTGTCTGCAGAAAACCCTAGAGGCACAATGCCTGATTGACATATATAATATCATTTTTGAACATTGTCTGCTGTGGGAAAAGTCTAGTGGAGCACAGCAGAGCATATAAGAACAAACTGAAACAACGCAAAGGGTAGCAGAGTAGACACATGGGATTGGAGAAAAGCACAGTGGAGAAGAGCAGAGCACAGTGGAGAAGAGAAGAGCACTGTCAAGAAGAGCATAGCACAGTGGAGAAGAACAGAGTACAGTGGAGAAGAGCAGAACACAGTGGAGAAGAGCAGAGCACAGTGGAGAAGAGCAGGGCACAGTGGAGAAGAGCAGAGCACAGTGGAGAAGAGCACAGTGGTGAGGACAGAGCACAGTGGAGAAGAGAAGAGCACTGTCAAGAAGAAAATAGCAGAGTGGAGAAGAGCAGAGCAGAGTGGAGAAGAGCAGAGCACAGTGGAGAAGAGCAGAGCACAGTGGAGAAGAGCAGAGCACAGTGGAGAAGAGCAGAACAGTGGAGAAGAGCAGAGCACAGTGGAGAACAGTGCACAGTGGAGAAGAGCACAGTGGTGAGGACAGAGCACAGTGGAGAAGAGAAGAGCACTGTCAAGAAGAGAATAGCAGAGTGGAGAAGAGCAGAGCACAGTCAAGAAAGCATAACAGAACACAGTGGAGAAGAGCAGAGTACAGTAGAGAAGAGCAGAGTACAGTGGAGAAGAGCAGAGCACAGTGGAGAAGAGCAGAGCACGATGGAGAAGAAAGATCACAGTAGAGAAGAGCAGAGCACAGTAGAGAAGAGCAGAGCACAGTAGAGAAGAGCAGAGTACAGTAGAGAAGAGCAGAGTACAGTGGAGAAGAGCAGAGCTCGATGGGGAAGACAGATCACAGTAGAGAAGAGCAGAACACAGTGGAGAAGAGCAGAGTACAGTAGAGAAGAGCAGAGCACAGTGGAGAAGAGCAGAGTACAGTAGAGAAGAGCAGAGTACAGTGGAGAAGAGCAGTGCACAGTGGAGAAGAGCAGAGCACGATGGAGAAGACAGATCACAGTAGAGAAGAGCAGAGTACAGTAGAGAAGAGCACAGCACAGTAGAGAAGAGCAGAGTACAGTAGAGAAGAGCAGAGCACAGTGGAGAAGAGCAGAGCACAGTGGAGAAGAGCAGAGTACAGTAGAGAAGAGCAGAGTACAGTAGAGAAGAGCAGAGCACAGTGGAGAAGAGCAGAGCACAGTGGAGAAGAGCAGAGCACAGTGGAGAAGAGCAGAGCACAGTGGAGAAGAGCAGAGCACGATGGAGAAGACAGATCACAGTAGAGAAGAGCAGAGCACAGTAGAGAAGAGCAGAGCACAGTGGAGGACAGAACACAGTGGAGAAGAACATACACCCTTCTGCCACTACAGCGGAAGGTTGGTTGTTTGATTCCAAAACACATCAAAAGATTGCACTTGTTGTTACCCTGCCTGGTGCTTGGCATTAAAGGGTTAAAACAAGGACTGGTCGGCTCGGAGTCAGTATACAGTGTCTGAGTGGGGTATTCATGTTAAACTGCGGAATGGTATCTTAGAGGGCTAGTAATATGAAACCAGACTGGTGCATGCAGCCACACACACTCACTCACTCACTCACTCACACACACACACACACACACACACACACACACACACACACACACACACGTGCATGCATAAATCTCATTTTCAAAATTATATCATGTCATGGAGACAAATAGCATCACAAAATTGTTTATGAAACATATCACATATTGTGTCATTGATGAATTAGATGAAACATCTTCATGAATACAGATTACTTTGAAAAAGAGTGAACAGCAAGGACAAAGGGAGACCACTCTTTCAATGCATCATTACAAATGGATGCAAATAGGCTTTCTGTTTCATGTTCCTCTAAAAGTTACTCTCTCTGTTACTCCTGTTGAAACTTTCAAACACATTGTTTCATTGATAACTCATAGTAACACTTCCAAATATGGGACATGTTTCCTGGAAACTGAATGACGGACCGTGGACTACTATTTTCTTGGAATTTGTAATGCAAGGTAGGCCTAGTGCCGACTTTTGAAGCTTCGTTAGACCTAGCTTTGATGAAATACTTTATTTGAATACACAAGTCACCTTCAAGGCTCAGGCGCTCTCAATCGCGAAAACTTTGTTGACACATAAGTCAAACTACAACAAATATGACTTTTAACGAGTCAAAGTAAGGCATTTATGATAAATGTATCCATTCTCTGGCAACTCAAGTTCGTTTCAAGGTGTAAATTGCGGTAATCTGACAAATAATGAATGAAATTTTGAATAAAATATATAAAATATATTACAAAAATAAGTCCAGATATACAGAGAACACATTTTTATACCCAGATAGAATAATAATGGGATTTAATTGCGTATTTCAGTTCGGATTTGTTGACTGGTATTTCCAGTGTTAGTGCTTGCGGTGATAAGCTGTTAATGTGAGATGGAAAGTGTTGAGTTTATAAAATATGTTTACAAGCAAATTTTGGAAGCCATGCGTTATTGCGGGCTATAACAGAGTTAGCACGATATTCAGGGGCGCATTCTCAGGTCTGTAGATGTAACATTTTATTGAATATATTAGCTTGATTTTGGGCAAGTCCATTTTATAATATGTCAAGTAAGAATGTCTGTCGGTCATACTTGCCCAAAATCAAGTCAAGTCAAGTAACATTTTTTGTAAATTTTCAACCCCTGAGCGATAGTTTTATCTAATTAACAATGATTGCCTTGCATGTATTATTCACAGCAGAGTATGTGTGCCACAATACACAATATTTACTGTGTATTGGATCAGTAAATAAAGATCTGTGAAGAAATATAGGTACAACATTTGAGTGAATGAGTGAGTTGAGTTTAACGCTGCTTTTAACAGTATGGATTTTCAACTTGATGTGGGAGGAAAACCAGAAGTGATGCAGGTCTTAGACGTTTACCACTCCGGTGAAACCCACGAGCACGGGTATGGTGCTGACAAACCTAGAAACATTATCAGGGAGAACCATGATTCGAACCTACAATCATAGGGACGCAACTCTGCACAGTGAATTGCGGCGCCTTAGACGACTGGGCCACCCTTGCCCCCTACAAAATTTGAAACGGATACATTGGCTAATTATGCAGGGTGCTACACTATTAGGTTTTTGTGATTTTTCACACATACCAATGATTATTGAAAAACTAGACGTAACTTTTAAGACAACTGCATATATTGTCTTCAGAAAATGTTAATAAATTACGTTCAGGTGGGTAGTTGTAATATTTTCACACCAAAGCTGGATATATCCATTGATCAACTGATGACATTTCATGGCCAGCAGTGTAGCTGAGAGAATTGACAACAAACATAGAGAAGGAATATTTCAAATTAATTTTACAAATGAGTAGCTGAAACAAATAAGGGGTTATAAACATTAAATATTTCATTATTATCACAGAAAAACAAAGGTAAGTGTTGTGATTTATGCTTATACATCAGGAGATTTAACCTGTAAAATGTGGTAAAAAAGTTCCGTTGGATGTCTTCCGTAGTGTGGCTGGGGAAAAGGGGTAACATTTGGTTATCGTGTATAATACGCACCCCTATGTTTGGAGTCCCACAAGCACGGGTATGGATCTGGCGCAACTCTGCACAGCGAATTGTAGCACCTTAGACGACTGGGCCACCCGTGACCCCAAATTAACAGAGTTGACATGGATTCAGTTATTCTTGCAATGTGACATTTTGGTACACATGCACTGAAAGATTAAAACAAGACAAAATCCATAACATCAAGGCCCCTCAAAACCGGAATCCATAAGTTAACTCTGTGTTCAACGTATTTGTGATTTAGCGACCAAGGCAGTCCCTATTAGATATACATTTCTAAATGGGGTTGAAATATAGCGTAATTTCAATGCCATTGATGCAACACAGCAACTATAAAAGGGTCTATAAAAGAAAAAACTATGTTAGCAGTATCAAATCACTGAACCTACCTTTTCATCAAACTGCTGCATGACTGTATTGAGTCAACATACACCCGATTTGCAAGATCCACAATGTCACGCTCATTTTGGAAATGTGTTGGGAATTTTGATCTTGCTACTTCTACGAGTCTGAAATGAAAACAATTATACTAAATATACTTCCGATTTTTATGAACGACCTTGCAAAATTTACACAATGAACTTGTGTTGGGCCTCTGTTAGCCTTTTGTAAGTGGAGACATCAGCTCCATTAATGTTGGAACAACATCACAGAACACAGTCAAACGTCAGTAAAAATGGACAACAGTCATCACTTCATCTTTAATAGTTTGAAGTGAAACGGTGATGTGACGTCACGTAGCCATGGGTTACCTTGCAAACAATATAACCAGTCAAATCATAGGGGTTAACTACCTAACCGTCATCATGCGAACATTGCTATGCTCAGTGAAAAGTAAAGAAAATTATGTGTTCGCTTGTTTCAGAGTATACAGTATCGCTTCTGTTTTGTCTGAATTGTATGAAATAAGCCAAGTTTTAGCCCAACCGTATATGTAGTCAAAATTTCAGTTCAAAATGTAAATGTAATAACCCAATAAATTGGAAACCTTTGAGTAAAACCTCAATTGCTCAAACAGTTATCTGGAGCTCTGCACTCATATCACCTCCATTTCTGAAAAATTCCATTCCCTGATCCTATATTTCCGATACATTCCCAAATATTTTCACAGCTCTCTCATCAATCTGGCATCTGCATCTTCAATCTCTATGCCGTTTGAGGAAAGACGCTGATGTATCTATCAACATAACATATCACAGCAATGTGACACTGCTTGAACAGTAAGCAGAAACTACAGGCCTATTCAGAGCAATATATATATATTAAAAGGCTGTTTGAGACTGGAATCGTTCATGGTCTTAGTTAGCCTTGTGAATCTACGTTGACTAACATTTGATGCGAGAAACAAACCTCTCTGCACTAAAAGCCCCTTCAGTATCGATGTAGATCACTGCTGAATGGGAACCTTCCGACATGGCCGACAGGACGCTCAACATGATGCTGAACTGGGTCTTCCCACAGCCTGAAGGTCCCGCTATCTGCAACAGTAAGAGTCACTCATTAGATGTAGCCGATAGGATGCTCAACATGATCATTGATGATACTGAACTCAATCTCATTAAAATCAGATCTTAGTTCTCGCTACCGCTAAACAAAGATCTGAGGACATCCCATTACGGGTCACGTCAGAACGACCTTTTGCGAATTTTGACCGACCAATGAAATGACTGACAAGAAATCGACATTAGCCAATCAGAAGGCACCTTTCTCGAGCTTTACGACACTAGTTTCAAACTGGCGACTACGCTTCGAAACATATTTTGACGTATTCTCGATTTAAAAAAAATTAAACTGATAAGAAGAACATTCTGGAATGGCTTATCGATGGCCTAGATTGTATGGATATAATCATAAAACCCGTAACTGTCGTTCAGAAAACCCCGTGTTAAATATTTCGTGGTTGCATGATTAGAAAACACATTCCGACAGTCACTTTCATGATCTGGTAAGCGGCGCTCTGATTGGTTGGATGAAAGGTCGTTCTGACGTGACCCTTAATGGGATGTCCTCAGATCTTTGTTTAGCGATAGCGAGAACTAAGATCTGATTTTAATGAGATTGATACTGAACTCAACTTCCCACAGCCTGAAGGTCCCGCAATCTGGAATAATAATTCACTCAGTAGACATAGCGGACAGTACGTTCAACAGGATTTTAGAACTGGATCTTGCCACAGCCTGAAGCCAACCTCACATACCGGAAGTTATTTACACGAAATTAAATGCCTCTTTCATCTAGAAATCCGGTTTCCAGATCTGGACAATGAATTTCAATTACCAACAGTGCAAAATACACACAATTGTGTCCCAGACAGCGAAATGACCGACCTAAATGAAAAGAAGTGGTAACATCCCCCATATCCCCCTCTACTTCCACAAAGTAGATGATACCTTAGTCATCCTACAATGACCCCAGAGCCAGACTGGACCATGTCAACTCCCAAAACCCCATGTATACAGTTCACCATGGAAGAAGAATCTGATCCTCAACCACCCTTCCTTGATGTACTTGGACAGAAAGACAAAAACAAGCTCCAGACCACTGTATACTGCACGCCAGCCCACTCAGATCATTATATTCACTGTGCCTCAAACCATCCACCTCAAGTCAAGAAAGGAATTATCTATCTCAACCCTAGCAAGACGAGCTCACAACATCCGTTGAGCCAAGAAACATCTTACCACTGAACTAAATCATCTCAAACATGTTGTCACACAGTACAACCACTACCCCGCACAGCTAGTGCAACAGACAATACAGAACATCTCCTTCAACAATCTGCACCCTTTGTGATGAGCCTCCCCTACTTTGGAAGCAGTAAAATCCAGAGACTTAGAGAAACAGGCCAACAGTGATTTAATTATCAAGCAAAGTAACAGTATTTAAAACACCACTGAAGCCACAGCAAAAGCATAATCCAGCCAATAGCATGAACCATCGGGAAAAGTGTACCATCGGGAACAGTGTACATTGTACCATTGAGAACAGTGTACCATCGGGAACAGTGTACCATTGGGAACAGTGTACCACAGGGAACAGTGTACCATTGAGAACAGTGCACCATCGGGAACAGTGAACCATTGGGAACAGTGAACCATTGGGAACAGTGAACCATCGGGAACAGTGTACCATTGGGAACAGTGCACCATCGGGAACAGTGAACCATTGGGAACAGTGCACCATCGGGAGCAGTGAACCATCGGGAACAGTGTACCATTGGGAACAGTGAACCATTGGGAACAGTGTACCATTGGGAACAGTGAACCATTGGGAACAGTGTACCATTGGGAACAGTGTACCATTGAGAACAGTGCACCATCGGGAACAGTGAACCATCGGGAACAGTGTACCATTGGGAACAGTGAACCATCAGAAACAGTGTAACATCGGAAACAGTGAACCATCGGGAACAATGTACCATGGGGAACAGTGTACCATCGGGAAAACAATGAACCATCCGGAACAGTTAAGATATCTCTCATGGTTTTAAAGTTCTACTCTGGTAAATGAAATGTGACGGATGGACAGAAAGCACCCATTCCTGTGTCCCCCTCCCACATCGTGGCGGTGAATAATAAAGTTCAAAAGGCAATATGACATGCTCATGACATATCTGTATTAAATGTCTGTTAATCTGTTCATCCATGAATCTTATCCTTACCAAACCCGTGAAGATCCGGGGTAAAATTAGTCTTCAGCAACCCATGCCTGCCGTAAAAAGCGACTATGCTTGTCGTGAGAGGCGACTAACGGGATCGGGTGGTCAAACTCGCCGACTTGGTTGATGCATGTCATCTTATCCCACTTGCGTAGATCGATGCTCATGATGTCCATCACTGGATTGTCTGGTCCAGACTCGATTAATTACAGACCGCCTTCATATAGCTGGATACTGCTGAGTGCGGCATTAAACAAACAAACAAAAAACCAGAAGAGTTATCTCCCCTTGACCACATCTCACCTCTGTGATCGTCCCAACAGGCAGCCCTCCATGGAGAACCATGTCCAGGTCAGGTAGAGTTGTGGGAAGGAAGGCAGACCTGCTCTCACTGCGGCCACGCCATAGTTGCAGGGCCTGTTGGACATCATCAAAATTAAATCAGGTCGTTTGGACATTCAGATCAATAACGGACTAATTAATCTGAACACCACTACCTTTTCCTCTGATCTATACCTCTCTGCATTTGGATCTGTGGGCACCTCCACAGGAGGTTGCATCAGGCGAACTCTCTAAACAGCATCAAGGCTTCCTAATTCTCAGTATAACAGAGCAAAGCCTTCTGACTAAGGGTGGATCCAGCATTTTTGAATAAGAGGGGTTCACAATTACAAAAATATGAAAATCCTCTCTCGGGGAAACAATTGACTACATTTGGTTTTCAGTGAATGAGTGAGTGAGTGAGTGAGTATGGTTTTACGCCGCTTTTAGCAATATTCCAACAATATCACGGCGGGGGACACCAGAAATGGGCTTCACACATTGTACCCATGTCGGGAATCCAACCCGGGTCTTCGGCGTGACGAGCCAACGCTTTAACCACTAGGCTACCCGACCGACCCACATTTGGTTTTCAAAGGGGGGGGGGGGGGGGTCCTGACACCCACCTCTGGACACAGACCAACATATCTGATTTCTGTATCTCGAAAAGGTTCTATGATGACATTCATTGTTAAGCAGATGTCTCAGCAAGAGTGAGTGAGGTTTTATGCCACTTTTAGCAATGTTCCAGCAATATCAAGTGGGGGACACCACAAATGGGCTTCACACATTGTACCCATGTTGGGAATAGAACCCAGGTCTTCGGCGGGACGAGCGAACGCTTCAACCACTAGGCTACCTGACTGCCCCGTCTCAGCAAGAATATTTGTGTTCTGTGTGGGTTTTCACTAGAAGAATCCAAAATATTTTAACTGAGAGGGTAACAAAACTTTGCCGAATCGTCTCAGAAAGCTGACATCTGATTGTCTCAAGAACCCATCCATCCTTCATTTAGACTGGTTGGTCAAAGTTTGCTAATGCTTCACCGGTTGCTACCTCCTAGGGAGCAGGGGTTAAGACTGGAACGAGTCCAAATTTACTACCCGGGGTACCCATCCCCTTATTACCCGACCCTACCTGGCTACCCACTGTAGGTCTAAGGATATGTCTTAAAATGTCCAATTGGGAACATTTTTAGCATAGCCCTGGCAAAACGTATTTAGATACATGTATTAAACAACCTGGTCATTCATACACTGATGTTGAATTAAGTTTAATTCAATTTAAGTTTTCAACCATATGAAAAGTCAGAAGGAATGGGTGCATAGTCAGAAAGAAATGCGAACATTAGTGACTTGTAGTGTAACCATAGATGTCTAGATAATTTTTTGTCATTAAACAATATATAACGTGACTAACCACAGGTACCCGAGTTACCCGTCCCAGCCCTAGTAGGGGTGAAATGATACATCAAGGTAACAATATGATACATGTAACAATACATAGGTCTCGATACGGTACATACATAGGTCTCGATACGGTACGTATAGCATATTCAAATTAAATCGTGTTGAAACTTCTAGATAAATATTTCAGAGCATGTTCAAAAGGAAAAGCTAGCTGTCAACACGTTTGTCGCGGCTATTTTCTGCAGTGAACTTGAAACCCTAATTACAACACATTTAGCAATATCAGACGGACAAAAACTCTGGGAGGTCTTTAAACGAGGAGTCAGTAAATTATTTTAGCAACTGTATCATCTTGACATGTATTGATACAGAAAAAAAAGTGTCGTATCGTTGCATGAAAACTCACGATGCACCGGTGCAACAATGGATCATTTCTCCCCAACAACATAGATGTCCTCAGATCTTTACAAGGTGAGGTATCATATTTGAGCAACAGATCTGATTTAAATAAGATCTCTCTTTACAGCATATACAGTTTCTCTCTATTTGATGGGTTTGATATACAATTTTTTCAAGCAGCCAGTATCACTAGTAGTCCTACAGAAACCATGATACAACTACAACACATTGAGTAAATTTTACACCTTTCCATAACAATTATTCCAGCAATGTCTTTCATTCTGTCAAATCTATGCAAAATATGCAAACTGACATACTTCACACAAGGCGCTAAATTCATCTCAATTTGCATTACCGTATTCGACGTAATAAGTGCCCACGGAGATACTTGCCAATATATTGGCTAGTGAACAATCCCAATTAGCACCCCTTCCGATTGATCAATGTACACAAGACTTATTTATTTGTGTATGATACGCAATCGTGTGTCATATGCACCCTTAATTATGGGCAATTAAATTCTGGAAAATATATCTGTCATGTATAATAAGCGCTGACTATTCTTTGTTTCATTTCAGGCTGTCAGCATAAATTACAAAATTTACAATCTTTCAACTGTTTTTTCTCTCACCAGAATTATATTCTAATAAGAGCCCCCTATTTCTAATTTTGAGACCGCCCAAGGCACTTAATACGTCGAATACAGTTTTCCTACTGACTGTTTCAGAGCACATGTGAATTTGATACTTCGTTTTCATGAGAACGGAGAAATATCTGGTAATGAGGTGCAAAATTGCCTCTAGTTTGAAAACATAAAAAATACACCAAATAAGCATTTTGCTTAAATAAAGAATGACATGATGGGCTGTCACGTGACTAGTCAATGTAAACAATCCATGCAACAATAAAATTATGCAAATTTAATACAACCATTGCTTACAAGGTTCGGACACAACACCAGATTTCAAGGTGTACGCAAATTTCGATGCTGGTCTCAGATTTCTGGGCGTTTAGAGGTTTATTTGGCATGTGCGAAAAGAATGGTAGCTCTTCCTTAAAGGGACACAATTTTTCATTGGCACCTTTGCCTTGAGATTTCAGTGATGCCTTCAAATTACAAGGTATGTTATTATGACACTCAAATCACCACGCACCTTGTAATCACAAGGCAAGGGAGGTAACCCAAGGTGTATTTTCAAAATGGCGGTAATATTGTAGTTGGGAATGTCCAAATAACTCTCCGTTCCTTAAAAATAATGGGGGCATCGGCTACATATGTTTACCTGATTTTTTTTAATTGGATTTATCTAACTGCTTCAAATATAAACTTTGTTATGGGTAACCCGCTGCATTTCGACATTTGTTATCAAGTCATATGACATAATGTTACTCAATAAATAACAAAAGTGTGCACTGTACATATATACAATATATCCACTTCAATCACTGTTACTATTGTTAATTGAGGGTGTAATTTGAGGACAAGGTGTCAGTGTTTAAGAGTAAATCAATTGCCTCCAGTTGTTTATTGATTCTTTGAACAGCCGCGCCTGGCCGCGGATGTATTGATAGGTAGATTGGTGACACGTGAGGAGCTTAGCTCAGGGATTAACAGTTCGTTATACAGTTAAACATTATCGTTGACAAGTACACACGGGAACACAAGGAGAGCTCGCTATATCCGTTATATTGTTATGAGCATGTTCATTATATCCACCAAACTTATATGATAAAATATATGGTAAATGTCCGGGACCAAAGGAAAAGTTTGTTATCCGTCAGTTTGTTATAAGCTGTTCGTTATAAACATAGTTTACTGTTAGTGGTTCAATAAACTTTAATTTCTGGACATTTCAGAAATAAAACTTAAAAATGAATTTAAGGAGGCCCATATGTTTGAAGAGCCCCCATTTGAGAAACCCTATGTTTGAGAAGCCCCTTGTTTGAGGAACCCTATCTTCCTGAGGCAAGGGAGCTAGTTAACTGACTATTAAAGTCCAGTTTCCACCCTTGCTGAATCAGGCTGGAATTATGGAGTTATATTTTGGCTGGACTAACAAGTCTATGCATAGTACAATCAAATTCGTGAAACCAATTCGACACCCGGTTCGTAAACTGCTGTGCAGATTTCGGTCAATTTAGGATTTTTTTGCCAAAAGCTTGTGTACGACGTCAAGACATATTTTCCAAATCTTTTCATATTTTTAATAAAGGTGCTCAAGTGATTTGATGCACTTCGTGATTTATCACAACATAGAGTTTGATTATCGATAAGATCGTCTTGACCGTGTGCCGCCATTTTGTTTGAGGCAAATGTAAGTGATATGGGAGACGGAATCTGATTGGTCAATAGGAGGGACATATAAGGGACATAACTCGTAATAGCCACTGGTAGCTCTACGACCTAGCCTTGTTCAGCAAGGGTGGAAACTGGACTTTTACAGTCAGTTAACTCCCTTACCTTGGGAAGATGGGGGAACCCTTTTTAGAGCCCTGTGTTTGACTTACTGTGACAGCTGGAGGAATGCAAGAGTGGCAGCACTGGTCGATGATGTCTGTGACTGTGAGGTAGCCACACCCCGTCAGCTTCAACAACTCCAGTGTCGACCGTGATAAGACGCCCTGAAAAATTTCAAAATCCTTGTACAACCCTGAACACTGTACAACACGAAACACTGTACAACACGGAAAACTATAGGCCTACAACCCTGAACAGCATCTTATTTTGAAAATGTTCTCTAGTAGGGCTGGATCGAGTCCAAATTTACTACCCGGGTACCCACCACCCTATTACCCGACCCTACCCGGGTATCCGCTGTAGGTCTCAGGTGATGTCTCAAAATGTCCGATTGGGAACATTTTTAGCACAGCCCTGGCAAAACGTATTTAGATACATGTATCAAACAATATGGTCATTCATACACTGAAGCTGAATAAAGTTATATCTTTATTCAACCATATGAAAAATGAGAAGAAATGCGAACATTAGTGACTTGTAGTGTAACCATAGAGTTCTTGATAATTTTTGTTATTAAACAATAGGCCTATATCACGTGACTAACCACGAATCCGGGTAGTCCTGTGGGTACCCGGGTCCTACTCAGTACGCACCCGACCCGGGTACCCGTCCCAGCCCTATTCTCTAGTGGTAATAGAGAGGTCGACACGACCGCTTTGAGACAGTGTGACGAGTCTTGAAGGACGGACGTCTGCTCCAGAATTGAGTCATTTCACCATTACTCATACTGTCTTAAAGCTGGAGGCAGGCAAAAAATGAATCCATAAAATAACAAACTATGGCTTCACAAAGAAACTGATCACGAAGAAAGTGGTTACTAACGATTAACATTTTTTAAAGCACCATAAAATCCTTCATTCATGTCAATCGCCAGGGCAGTTTCACCACTGGTTTAATTCACGTGTCATTGGGCTTGTCATCAGCTGACAGATGTTGTACTTACACGACATGATCCAATATTATGCTGTGTGAGTCTTTCAAGCGCTTCCCTCGGTACATTAAGCCGCTTCAGTCTTTTAGAAGACATCGGTAGCACTGCATCTTCGAATCAAGCGGGAACCCTCCAAGGGACATAACTCTAACATTTGTTTATCACGACATTTGACTTTTTTAAAGTTCAGAATCGATGAACAATGTTCGAACCAGCATTAAATCATATGAATGTTTTTTTCTCATTTTCACATTAACATTATATTTCAGAAAATAAACAAAATGTTAATTAAATTTAGACGAAAGCCCATTGATAGAAAACAATTTAATGTGTATAATTCAGCCCTCGATATAAAAACAACAACCAAACAACATCGTGTACATCAGCCTGAAACACTATCGTATCATGGCTGTACCAGCCGAAACCTCACCAGATTTCGTTGGTGGAAACGACAGCAGCTATATGTTGCAATAAAGAGAAAGGAAAATAAACAATAATCTATCTTTTGGCATGCAGTTATACCACACAGAGGGGCACGGCTGGCGCCGCGATTCGCTGTGCAGAGTTCCGTCCCTTGGGCACGCCAAAAACCTATGATTGTGAGTTCGAATCCCAGTTCGCCCCGATTATGTTTCTAGGTTTTCAGCACCATACCCGTGCTCGTGGGTTTCACCAAAGTGGTAAACGTCTGAGACCTGCATCACTTCGGGCTTTCCTCCCACATTAAGCTGACACGCAGTGATATAACTGGAATAATGTTAAAAGCGGCGTAAAACCCAACTCGCTCGCTATACCACACAGACACATAGTACATGAACATGTCGCCCGTCAAGGATGCCCGTTTTGGAGTAGCGGCCAAACCTTAAAAGGGGGCTTATTCAAGGAGTAACCCCTCCCCACAGTAGAACAAAGCACAACCACATTTTCTTCACAAGATGTCATTTATGCATGAAAAAACGCTGGTTGTTGTGATTTCGTTTGGTGACAGACGTGTTTTTTGGTGGTAAGCTGCACATTTATGTCTCAATATCAAGTAAATCAAATAAATGGCCCTAAACAAGTCAATTTCCATATTGGAATGCTCATTTTATTTTTAAAAATCAGTGTGCTGACTTAGGAAACCTACAATACAACAAATATATAATAAATTGTTTAAATGTCGAAAAACATGAAGAAATCACTCCATTTTCATTTTGAATTATTACGAAACTGAAGATAATGTAACATCTATATTGACAAGCATGTCGTTTGATATCTCAAAATCTGCCTGAATGCTTTAGGAGCTTATAAAAAAATGCTAAATTTATGTAGGTATAATATAATGTATGAAAGTTTAGTAAATGTGATCCCACCACCCCCATCCTGTTACAAAAAACAAACAAATATATAATTACATATTTTAAAAAATCACAACACTAACATTCTTGTACACCAAATTGCTCTGGTTGAACTCATGAATCGTTTAAGTATCTACATATGTGAGCTTCAGAACCTGGATTTTCCAAAATGGTGAGCAAAATGGCCTCCAAGATGGCCGTCAATACAGTGAGTGAGTGAGTTGGGTTTAACGCCGCTTTTAACAGTATTCTAATTATATCACAGCAGTTCAGCATAATGTGGGAGGAAAGCCCGAAGTGATGCAGGTCTCAGACGTTTACCACTTCGGTGAAACCCACGAGCAGGGTAATATGCTGACAAACCTAAAAACATAATCGGAGCGAACAGGGATTCGAACCCACAATCATAGGTTTCTGGCATGCCCAAGGGACGCAACTCTGCACAGCAAAAAGCGGCGCCTTAGACGACTGGGCCACCCGTTGGTTGAAAGTATCTTCTGTAGGTGGGAACATGGTAGCTGCCTTTTCAGTGCCAACTTCTTCAAATTTTCAAGATGTGTCAACCATGTTGAGATCGCTTCTTTGGATTTATAACCAGACATCATCATAAGAATATCACGTTTCACAATGTTTCCTCCAGATCACAACTGCCTTTCCGGATTCACTTACAAATAGATAACAGAATACCCAGTCTCAATTATCTCAGCTCAGTACAAGTACGCTACAGAAGCAAGTCAAAATAGGGAACAAGTCGGACATAATTTTTTAACTGGTGCGTCAAAATGTCCCCCGCTTGTCCACTAGAACACTTTTTGAAAGCATTACTGAGGCGTTGAATTTTGATAGAAAGAGCATGCCCGAACTGTACCTCTAAAGTTGTGAAATGTAAACACCAAAGGCTGGAGCTGCAAGAATATTGCTCGACTTTAAGGGAAAGTTGAAGTCATCTCTCTTCAGATACAGTCTTGCGCCTTGTCACTCTGAATCTTTATTCATAGGTCTAAACATGAAACAGATGAGGCGGTCTCATTGGTCTCTTTTATTTCTAGCTCAGGTGGGTAAATCAATTGAAGGGAATTGGCTATTTGATCATGATTGAATAATATCAGATCATGGATGTACCTGAAGCTTAAGATAAACTTCTTGGCCAAATTACCTTGTTTTCACTCTTCCAATCCGAACAGAAATTCCGATTCATATGCATAAAGAAACAGATCCGCAAGAAGGGGAGCACAATTGGTGCCTATGGGGATGCCTACCTCTTGCCTAAATGTCTTACCCCAAAATCTTATGTAGATGTTATCAATGAGGAAGTCCAGCATTTCACATATTTTCTCAGTAAACTTCAGATGGTATTTGCTTTCATTTTTCACAAATTGTCTTGAACCTCTGAAAAGAGATAGTAACTGTATCTGTGTTCAGCACGTTTTGTAACAAAAGCCCCATGGATCAGGGAATGAAGTTTTTCTTTAAGTTTGATAGTGGTGTACGAAGTTGAAAAATCAAATGTTTTGACGGAATGGAACTTGGTTGCGGTAAGACAGTCTACCTGAAGCGGAAGAGCAGCCACATCGAAACGCGCTCATTCACGTAAGAGTGAGTGAGTGAGTTGGATTTAACGCCGCTCTTTACAGTATTCCAGTTATATCACGGCGTGTCAGCTTAATGTTTTCCACTTCGGTGAAACCCACGAGCACGGGTATGGTGCTGACAAACCCAGAAACATAATCGGGGCGAACCGGGATTCGAACCCACAATCATAGGTTTCTGGCGTGCCCAAGGAACGCAACTCGGCACAGCGAATCGAGGCGCCTTAGACGACTGGGCCACCCGTGCCCCCTTCACGCAAGATGCACCACACGCTGAACAATATACTTCGGGAATGTATAGCGGTTACCTAGGTGACGACCTTTAATGAATGCTCTATGGACGGTTGCAAAGCAGCATGGAAGACGTGCTATCGCTGCAGCGAACCTGTGTAAGTAACCCGAATTTTGCAATAGATACAATACGGCTGTCAAGTCCACCTTTGGTATCTGCACTGAGATACCTGAGTAAACACTAGTGGGGCATTAAAAGATGACTAAACAGCAGCATGGCGCACAATATGAAATGATGTCAGCTCTTACTCTGCTTCTAAAAAATCCAACAAAAAAATCGTCAGACGCTGGAAGGTGGACTGGCCCGCACTATCCCATCTTCCCGAGGCGGGCGGTCGGGTAGCCTAGTGGTCACGCCGAAGACCCGGGTTCGATTCCCGACATGGGTACAATGTGTGAAGCCCATTTCTGGTGTCCCCCGCCGTGATATTGCTGGAATATTGCTAAAAGCGGCGTAAAACAATACTCACTCACTCACTCTTCCCGAGGCAAGGGAGTTAACTGACTATAAAACTCCAGTTAACCGTTTCGTAAACTGTCATGCAGATTTCGGTCGAATGCAGGATTTGCAAAGCATGAGCACTGCCAACTCGATCCACTGTTCCATCACAATATAGATGTTTATTATCGATCAGATCGTTTTGACTTGGCGCCGCAATTTTGTTTGAAGCACAAGTGCGAGAGGTGGAATCTGATTGGTCCACAGGAGAGGCATAGAAGGGACATAACTTGTAATAGCCACTGGTGGCGCTACGACCAAGCCCGGGAATTCCAGCCTAGTTCGGCAAGGGCGGAAACTGGACTTAGTCAGTTAACTCTCTTGCCTCGGGAAGATGGCGTTATCCATGCTCCCATGGTGCGAAATTGGGTCTGTCTGGACAATGCTGGCCGCGCATAGACGACGAAAAGGTACTTGGCACTGACATATTCCGCCAATACTGTTACTTGTCCTTACCCGGCATCTCCACCATGTCGTAACTGCGTTAGGGCGTCAAGGGGGGGCCCTACTACAGTTACTTAAACGTATTGTCGTTCCGTGTCGTCATGGACATCGGAGTTTCTCTTAGTCAAGGAATGAGGAGTCATTCGACTTCCGTTACTCCTAATTATCCCAGAGACATTCATGTGCCGGCATACTCACATACAAGAAGTAACGCAACACCAGGCTTTTACTCACATAACTTTACTACCTTAAGAACATCTATCAATACACAACAGGATCAGACCGGCCAGGCCCGCCTCAGAGGGGAAAACTTAGAACGATCGGGTTCGACTCCATCGACTGTAAAACCACGCTCTCCTCTTCTAATGTCGACGGTATAACTTCAAAGTGTTCCAGCCTGACACGTCTTTGCCACATGACCTCATAGATGATTTTAATTGGTTAACAACAATATCACACAAGGAGCTCCTATTTGTGTCGTGATCGGAAAACTACCAGATTCTACTAACCAATTAAAGATCTGTCTTAAATGGTGACAACAACGACACCATCCCGAAAATATACTGCAAATGTCATCGCCATAATGATTTCCTCCTTGTTTGGGGGGCATGGGTGGCCAAGTCGTCTAATCGAATCCCGATTATGTTTCTAGGTTTGTCAGCACCATACCCGTGCTCGTGGGTTTCACCAAAGTGGTACACGTCTGAGACCTGCATCACTTCGGGTTACCTCCCACATTAAGCTGACACGCCGCGATATAACTGGAATACTGTTAAAAGCAGCGTTAAACCCAACTCACTCACTCACCCCTACTTGTTTGCGCCAAATCGGGGACTTTCTGTCTCCCTCGTGTTAAAACTATTACCATCAATATTACACCAAAGGTCGACTTTGTTATAAATTTCTAACGTTTTGAGGATGCATTTTTACCTTACACATTATAATTGATTCTTGGTTTGAACAACTATTTAACCATACCACTATGTCATGTTTTTCACCGTACATTATTTTTTAAAAATGCATGGTTTTATTGTATATTATGGTTATTTTATCCACTGGCCAAAACATTATAGAGATACAACCTAAGCTTGATTTTCTGTTAAAGAGGAAGCAAATCTGTCAGTCATCTGGAGGAAATACAGTTGATAAGTGACTTCCTGAAACATGAATGACGCCAACTTCGAGTTTTGATGACAACGTGCTGTTTATCAACTAAACAGCACAAAAGGCGTGTTATCAGCACGAGGCTAAGTCTGTATTTGCCTCTTCATTGTTCTCTATACAACATACATTTAAAACCGCTTATTTCAAAATGTGGAAATTCTGTGTTTAATTATTTGGTCGGAAGAACAATTTGAAATTCTGTCGAAAAATCTTCCCAAATGAGCAATAGAATATGAAATTTGTGGAACAGTTGATGGTAATCAAAAGTACAGAAATCTGTATGAAGTCAGCAGTTGTTGTACCCGAGTCTATTTCCCATAAGAGCAGATCTACTGCACTGACAACATGGGTGACCACAGACATGGTTGTAATAGCCATCACCAACGCCGTGAACCCTTTGTTCCATGTCTGGCCATTTCCACTGTTTTGTCTTCGTCTGGAGATGGTCAAAATTATATTACACGTTATCAATATTGTCAAAGGAATTACGCATCGAAACACCAAGACAATAGGACCAATATACACTTTGAAACCATCCTTTCCAAGAAATCCTCCATGCTGATCTTGATTAAACAACTGCATGTTCAAATCCGGATTCCAATAGGGCCTCGGCCAAAATGCAAGCCACAGTGGAACATTGAATGCAACTGTGAACACGGCTATGGCCCCTAGCGCCTTGTTGATGACACGCAAGAAAGACCCAGACTTGAAAGGTAAAGCGATCGCTATGCATCGTTGGATCGCTATGAGGACTGTGAGGTAAATTTCAAATGTATATAGAGTCATTGCAAATAGATATGCAAAGGGGTCGAAAATTGCACATACCGCCCTTGCAACATGACTATTACAGAGTTGTGATGTGAGCGACAAGAAGACAAGAACAAGAAGGATCACGTCTACGAGTGAGAGATACTTCAAGAGACGCACACCACTGTTTGTCTTTTGCATACGATGAAGAACAACCGCTCCGAGAATGTTCCCAAACACACCACATATGGCTATAACTGTCGACATCCATGCTATAGTTTCATGTCCGGATTGTTGACTGTTTGGATTTAAGTCATTGCTGTCGTTATATCTAATTTCTGTTCTTGAAATGTTTGCCATGGTAGTTCCAAGGGTGTAAATGGTGTGACTGTTTATGAAGTTGATATCCTCTTCCTTATTTCAGCTACGAACAAATCACGTACGAACAAATCACGTTCAGTCAACAATAGATGATAAAGTTCAGTTCCTGGTATTAACTGCCAACAGTGAAATCTTGTAGCCACGTTCACATCTATACTGGAGGTTATTATTTAAACTTTCATCTCCATACGTCGAGTTTTCCGTACGTCCTCTTGAGATACAGAGACACGTGACCAGCTTCAACGCCCTCAACACACAGCAATAGCTTGTTCGCACTGAAAATACACGTAACGTCTCTGTTGAAAAAATATAACTGAAAGAACATAGTGTGTCCTGAAGACACCTCTACATACGCCAGCAGACATACTACCGCACTTCACTGTCAGGATCGACCCGTAAAAGGCGACTAACGGAATCGGGTGGTCAGGCTCGCTGACTTGGTTGATGCATGTCATCGATCCCAATTGCGTGGATCGATGTTCATGATGTCAGTCACTAGATGGTCTGGTACAGACACGATTATTTACAGACCGCCGTCATATAGCTGGAATATTGCTGAGTGCGGCGCAAAACAACAACCAACCAACCACTATCAGGACCAGTGACACACGAAACTCAGAACGCATTCATAACATTCATCTATAAATTATTATGTCTTGCTGATTCATGCAGCTTCAGACCTAAAATATAACAAGCAGCACGATCCAAGTATAAAGACAAACCATAGAGTAGATACTCGTCCTAAATCAGGATATGACAAACAGGTGCTGATAATACAAATGAAGAACCAAGGAAAGAGCATATGTTACTCACAGGAACGTCGTCCTTGGGTGTTGCCTTCTGAAATGGAACAGGATGACAAATGTGTCCTATTTAACAGTAAGAGGGGAGGTTATTCGTACCAAATTAATTTAATTATATTTCTCCAATGATATTACAACTGCTCCAAGCGTATGGGTTCACTTGATACGACCAGTCTTATGTTAGTTCATTCCATGACCCGAGGAAACGATGGGCGTGATGACTGTGTCTGAATTGTCAGTTTATATCCTGGTGAAGGGTTACTCACGTGACAAAGCTCATGACCTGGCTGCTTACGAACTGCGGACATGTGCTCTCAGCTATCGAGTATCTACAAAGTAAAGAGGTGTGAGTGAGTGAGTGAGTTGGGTTTAATGCCGTTTTAACAGTATTACAGTTATATCACTGCGTGTCAGCTTAATGTGGGAAGAAAGCCCGAAGTGATGCATGTCTTAGATGTTTACCACTGCGGTGAAACCCGGGTATGGCGCTGACAAACCCGGAAACATAATTGGGGCGAACCAGGATTCGAACCCACAATCATAGGTTTCTGGCGTGTCCAAGGAACGCAACTCTGTACAGCGAATCGCGGCGCCTCAGACGACTGGGCCACCCGTGCCCCCAATAATATAATATAATATAATATAATATAATATAATATAATATAATATAATATAATATAATATAATATAATATAATATAATATAATATAATATAATATAATATAATATAATAATAATCATCATCTCACTAGATAATTCCCATTTACATTTGCGTTCAGTTTGCGACAAAGGAAGGAACTTGATATTCCTATAAAAGAAAGAGACTCTTAAGAGGACAAGCACAGGATCAACTTGTGGCGAATTTTACACGTTTGAAACAAACACAGATACAGTAGGAAATTCATGCAATGGCCAGATTGCCCAAAGGAAATAGTGGGTGAGCGGATATGGTTTTACGCCACTTTTAGCAATATTCGGCTTCACACATTGTACCTATGTGGGGAATCGAACCCGGGTCTTCGGCGTGACGAGCCAACGCTTTAACCACTAGACTACCCCCATCGCCCCAAAAGGAAATAACTTTGGACGAGGATTTCATATGAAGCTAAACATGTGACACATATGATCCCCCCTTATGTTAGTGTATGCACAAGCACGATGGTCGGATTTGAAGAGATTTCCAAGCATGACCACTGAAGTTCTAACCCCAGTATATACCTGCTCGTAGCGTATTTCAAATGCATTTCATTTTATTGTCATAGGCTTGAAAGTTTTTTTCCAATTTTACAAGGTTCTGAAATATGGGCATGCTAAATGTAAATTTTCATATGTTTACGTTTTAGAAAGTTATGTATTCATTTTGGTTATCATGGACATGCTCATATTACTGGAAGTAAAAAATATCATATGCACACATAATATGCATGTAAATAATATTTGAAAATGATCTTTTGAAACTCTATTTCTGTGGCTTTGCATTTTAATTGACGGCTGGCATTTTGTTAACTAGCCACAGGAGGGTTAGCAACCACTCAGATATGATATAACTACCCGTAGCCGAAACGATATCTTACCACTCTTCTGTACGTTCGTTAACAGAAAACTGTCCAATAATATTAATCTTGTTTCTCTGTTACTTTTGCATATGGTATCTCAGTTACCAATCTTGAATTAATTATTATAATATTTTCAAGGATGTTAACTCAAAGTGTGTGATATATTCTATCCGTTTTCACATGTTTCCATACCGATTAAAAGTATTTATTCCATGTCCTTGTATATGAGTCATTTTCAAAAGATGTCACTTTTTGAGTTTCCAAAATTACAAAATCCAATGGTTGATATAATATCTTTTTTTGGTTTAAATGGAGTAACAAATATCTGAAGCTGTCAGTAACATCAAATGGAAGTCTTAATAATGCTTTTAAGAAAGAGGAATAACCAGTTACCATGGCAACTGAAACTTGGCTTGTCTTTCCCATAACAATGTTTGTGTGAATTATTTTGGTTTGAAATTCATGAAAATGCAAAAAGCACATACGAAACATTTATTTCTTCATATTTTTGTATATTAAACTTGAAGTGAGGATGAAGGGCATTTATTTAGTCTCTTAATGACCAATATGTACTCAGTGTCAGTTCTATGAAATACTGTTGCCCCTTCAACATAAATATTATGATTTCTAAATTTTCAAGATTTTTTGGAGGTTTTTTATTTGATAAACAAAGATAAACTGTGATAAATTTATGTCTCATTTCAGAAACTAAAGACATATTAAGATATATATAGTTTAAATGAGTGCGTTATAGGAAAGACATGCATGTTACAGGATTGACTATATTTGTTACAGAAAAGACATTGCAAATTCATATCATCAGTATGAAAAGAGTGGTAAAGATTATCTTAAATGTTTCTCATGTATATAATAATGCTTGCAAAAGTAATACCAGTCAATATCTTTTTCAGTGATATTGATAAATTTATTCCAACTTTTTAAAGGATAAATTCTAAAATCTGTTACAGTAAGGACAAAAGTGTGTTACATGACAGAACAAATTACCATACAATGACATTTTAGATCACAAAGCAGTTTCCGCATTTTTACTGTTATAGAAAATGTGTTACTTTGAATAAAAATGCACATGTTTGTGATATTTATATTTTTAAATGATTAATATGAAGAATGTTACCTATGACCTACATTATAACTGTTACAGGAAAGACCTTCAGACGTTACAGTACTGACTATGTGAAACAAAGTTTTGGTCAGCCTAGTTAGTTCACCATCATAAGTAAACAAAGGTTTACCAAACAGGGGTACCACCAGATGTAGTTACAGTTATATTTCCATCTCATTGTGAAATCTCCAGATTGATAGAAGACAGTTATGGTGAAGACAACATTTTGTTACATGAAAGACATTTAGAGAATAATTTTCATTTCTTTTTATGGTTTCTATGATCAACAATCAAATCCAAAGTTTTTGAGGTTGAGTATTAGTTTTACTTGTATTGTGAAACACTGAAAGTATTTGGTAAACGAATCGTGGTATACTGAAAACCAAGAAAGACTTGGTCAACTTGTAGAATGAACAATTCAGAAAATGTCAGAAAACACATGACCTACAATTAGAACACAACTTTCAACTGCAAGTAAGAATCTAAACTACAACCTGGAATGCAACACTTGAAACATCAAGCCATCTAGGAAGAAAGTTGAAAGATTATAGCTGACTTCCCAAGACATTATACGCCTTCATAGTGGCTTTTAACTGTAGACCAAATGTTATTGTCAACCTCACAATGAGATGATTCTGGAGTCTTCTGTAACTTTGGGATGATTGTCTCAATCACTAGCCCCCTCATCTTCAGCCTTCACCTTCTCTCTATCACTAGCCTCATCTTCAACATACACTTTCTCTCCATCACTAGCCTCCTCATCTTCAGCCTTCACCTTCTTTCCAGCACTAGCCTCTCCATCTTCAGCCTTCACCTTCTTTCCATCACTATAGTTTCCTCATCTTCAGCCTTCACCTTCTCTCCATCACTAGCCTCATCTTCAGACTTCACCTTCTTTCCATCACTAGCCTCATCTTCAGCCTTCACCTTCTTTCCATCACTAGCCTCATCTTCAGCCTTCACCTTCTCTCCATCACTAGCCTCATCTTCAGACTTCACCTTCTCTCCATCACTAGCCTCATCTTCAGACTTCACCTTCTCTCCATCACTAGCCTCATCTTCAGACTTCACCTTCTCTCCATCACTAGCCTCATCTTCAACCTACACTTTCTCTCCATCACTAGCCTCATCTTCAGACTTCACCTTCTTTCCAGCACTAGCCTCCCCATCTTCAGCCTTCACCTTCTTTCCATCACTATAGTTTCCTCATCTTCAGCCTTCACCTTCTCTCCATCACTAGCCTCATCTTCAGACTTCACCTTCTCTCCATCACTAGCCTCATCTTCAGACTTCACCTTCTTTCCAGCACTAGCCTCCCCATCTTCAGCCTTCACCTTCTCTCCATCACTAGCCTCATCTTCAGACTTCACCTTCTCTCCATCACTAGCCTCATCTTCAGACTTCACCTTCTCTCCATCACTAGCCTCATCTTCAGACTTCACCTTCTCTCCATCACTAGCCTCATCTTCAGACTTCACCTTCTCTCCATCACTAGCCTCATCTTCAGACTTCACCTTCTCTCCATCACTAGCCTCATCTTCAGACTTCACCTTCTCTCCATCACTAGCCTCATCTTCAGACTTCACCTTCTCTCCATCACTAGCCTCATCTTCAGCCTTCACCTTCTTTCCATCAATAGCCTCATCTTCAGCCTTCACCTTCTTTCCATCAATAGCCTCATCTTCAGACTTCACCTTCTCTCCATCACTAGCCCCCTCATCTTCAGCCTTCACCTTCTCTCCATCACTAGCCTCATCTTCAGCCTTCACCTTCTTTCCTTAACTAGCCTCCTCATCTTCAGACTTCACCTTCTCTCCATCACTAGCCTCCTCATCTTCAGCCTTCACCTTCTCTCCTTCACTAGCCTCCTCATCTTCAGCCTTCACCATCTTTCCTTCACTAGCCCCTTCATCTTCAGCCTTCACCTTCTCTCCATCACTAGCCCCCTCATCTTCAGCCTTCACCTTCTCTCAATCACTAGCCTCATCTTCAGCCTTCACATCTTTCCATCACTAGCCCCCTCATCTTCAGCCTTCACCTTCTCTCCATCACTAGCCTCATCTTCAGACTTCACCTTCTCTCCATCACTAGCCCCCTCATCTTCAGCCTTCACCTTCTCTCCATCACTAGCCTCATCTTCAGACTTCACCTTCTCTCCATCACTAGCCTCATCTTCAGCCTTCACCTTCTCTCCATCACTAGCCTCATCTTCAGACTTCACCTTCTCTCCATCACTATAGTTTCCTCATCTTCAGCCTTCACCTTCTCTCCATCACTAGCCTCATCTTCAGACTTCACCTTCTCTCCATCACTAGCCTCATCTTCAGACTTCACCTTCTCTCCATCACTAGCCTCATCTTCAGACTTCACCTTCTCTCCATCACTAGCCTCATCTTCAACCTACACTTTCTCTCCATCACTAGCCTCATCTTCAGACTTCACCTTCTTTCCAGCACTAGCCTCCCCATCTTCAGCCTTCACCTTCTTTCCATCACTATA